TGGTCGTTCATCAGCTGTTTCAGCTGGTATATATATATATATGTATATATATATATATATATATATTCACAGTGTTATAATTCAACATGCTCGTTTTTTATCTCCTTAGAACCTACTTCAGGCTTTAGAGGCCCTGAGACACAGCACCGAACTTCAACAACTGCAGAGTGAAGAATTGGTGGACGATTTGAAACGGGCCAACACGGCTTTGATTGGAGCGTTCGACAAAGCGAAGCACAAGTACTTGACTCGCATCCGGAAGCTAGAGGATCAGATCGGTTCGATCTCCAACAGCACAAGTGAAAAACGAACAGTCCTTTCAAAACCAGTTTCATCGTGCGCACCCATTTCTATGCCCCCCGATACTTGTCTAGTTTCCACCAAGTGTAAAGAAAGTATGATCAACATCCGTAACAAGCCAGTACCCCCAACCGTCCGTCCCACAACTACTATTCGAAGTACGAACGCTATGAACATGGTGCCCTACATAAACAGTACTATTCCGAATATGCCGGTCCAAGGTGGTTCACTCAGGCTATCATGCCCTGATCCTGTCCAGTTAAGCCGACCTTTACCCGCGATTCCACATACCCAGCCACCTAAACCTAGACAGTTAACTCCAGCATACATACCCAAACCGCAGCATACAAAAGGAAATACAGTCTTCCCGTCAAATAAAATCCCTCCGGGAAACATGCTACCTCCTCAAAGAGCCCCTTAACATTCAACGTCAGCCATTGTACAGATGTTCATTTTGTACAGCGATTAAACGATACACAGTTTGTGTGCGAATTATACGCCTGATAACGAAAACAATGCGAATTCCCAACCTCATGTCCTCTAGCCCTTTCAACAGTCCTTATTGTCCATGATGCATTACACCCTTATATCCCCCAACCCCAGTTCTCCCCAAATCATCATCATCGTCACTAGAGTTGATCTGCTATCAAGGGCCAATCAAAGCGTGGACCGGCTCTCCGGGATTTCGCCTTCTTGCTAGCAGAGGAATCTAAGTTGATTGGCCTCAAATACGTACCAATATATGTGTTGCAGCTGCATACACAAGAGATTGACCTTTCCGGTCCACTGTTTTATCTCGCGCCTTTTTAAATAACTTTTAATCTGGTTCGCATGCGTTACGTTGGTCTTTTTGTTTTTAGTTGTCGTTCTAATTTCACTCATTTCTCCTCAAAAAGGGTGTTTCATTTATCAAAAAGCAACAAGACAAAGTGTGGCTAGAGCATATCACCTATATTCTACTGATATACATACAATGCCGAAATCATTCGTGCATGAATATACGTGCCCCACTGCAGATACAATATGTACCAAGTGTTTCTTCTTGCTGTTTGATACAATCTGAACTGCGACGTTCTTCCCAAGCTCGCTATCCTTGCCAAGTGACAGGAGAACCTGATATGTGTTAGTTCAACCAGACCGGATCAATGCGGCAACCTACCTGGAAATTTGAGATTCTTCCAGCGTGATCCATTCGCTTGCAGTATGTGATGAATAAGTGATTGCATTCTATTGAAAAATGAGCAGAAGCGAGTATGGTTAAAGCCTTAACTAACAGTCAACACAGTTGACTGCACAGTCAACAAGCTGTGCAACTGGTAACCGTGAGGCTTGTTACTAGCAAATACGAACCGAGAGTAGAAGGGGTTTCTGAAGGGAATTTGTTGTCCATCATCAAATGTTTCACAGGAATTTAGCATGGAAAACGATTGCGGTAATCTGATGTAGCACACTAGTTTACCCGGATAAGTAATCACAGCAAACAGTAAACCAATCCTAGAACTTGATGAGCATTTATACATATGTATGGGGTTATGCGACCCTCAGTAAGAATAATTCACTATCAACAAAATGTAATTCCAAATTCGGAAACTCAGCGCAGTGAACCGGTTTTATAACTAAAGTAATTGTGCCAGATTACACTTAGGATTTATTCGTAGTCTGGGTTGTACTCCTAGCTAAAATACATCGCAGATTATTTATCACCATCTCTCCCACTCTATAGGTTAAATGCGACTACCGGCATCAATGAGAGGTTTTGGCCAGTTAACTGCATCTTACATGCAGTAGTCCCATCAAGGGAGGTTTCTAAGTTGCAAAAAGATAGCTGATTTCTCCATGACAGTAGCTTTCCTGTGTATGTTAGGTACCTAAAGTCGCAAGTGACGAGAAACCGAGAAACACGGTTGCAGACCTTCCATGAAGAGGAGTCTTACAGTAATTTCTCAGCTGTATGGATGACTGTTCCCTTACTAATAAACATGATATTTAGTTGAACAAATTGCTCATCACCCTACATTCTTCAATTTGGGTACTTTCTCGCAGTATCTGATCTAGTCCTTTATCGAGATCGTACAGAATAAATTACTACTGTTAACCACTGCAGAAGAATACGTATACCATTCAGTATTTTATTACACATAGTAGGGACTAGATTGAAGTTACCGTCACCCTACTTGACAGCAGATTCGGTTTTTAGGGCGAACAGGTTTCTGTCATACTGAATTAGACGACAGAACTCCGAGGTGTAGAGCTGCACCGATGCGGGGTTCCAACTTAGCACTCAGTTCGTTCACCAATTCTGTGTCTATAATTCGTACACGTTCAGTAAGTTTCAATAAGATGGTAAGGTGAAAAGACAAGTACACAAATACAGAACGACAGAAACATGAATGGGATCGCGCACTTTGTGGATGCAGTGAATAAAGTGGGCGTAGCGTCAGGTCAAAGTAATGCTGCAGGTTTTGTGAAAAAACAGGTGTTGCTAAAACTTAAGGTCATGTCTGCCGAGTTCTCTCTCTCACGCCAAACTACCTGTGGGTATCTACCCAAAATATCACATCGCTAACCAGAAAAAGCCACCAGTTGTGCATCCCATTGCGGAAATGGCAAACGATCGACGGATGTCTAAACCAAATCTAAACAAGCCGCACCGGACTTGCACGAATCTGTAATCACACGCAGAACACTGTGATGGGCGGGTAAGTGAAGTAAGCGCGCACATTTTGTCCACTTCAACGTTTCTCGACAGAAATCCACTTGACCTCGACGGACAAACCCCGGCGTCTAACCCTCGATTTCGACAGCAACAGCCGTCGTTCTTTATGCGAGGACGAGTGCCTCCTTGAAAGTGTTTTGATTTCTTATCTTGAATGAGTGTCAAGCGGCCACGTACACAAACGCTGAGACTGATGTGTTATTGCGGCCAAGGGACCTGTCCTGCACTAGTGCTGGAACACCAACGACGTAAAAGAGTTGCATATACCACACGAGGAATGTTCACCGAGACACTAGTCTGTTGATGTCACTTTTGGCGGTGAGAAAACAGGTGTTCTGTAAGTCAGGTTGCGGGAATCGTTGGGGTACATATGGGTAGGAAATACAACATCAGTCAGACACCTTGAGGAAATTACCAACTTGTTCAATGCGAAACATCCTAATGGACATAGCCCTTGTTGTAAATAAGCACAGACGATAGCGTAACCGCCACAATTGGAGAATAGAGGTGGGGCCAGTGAGGGAGGAGCAGGCAAAGCGAAGCGTTCGGTAGTTCGTTCATGTGTTACACGAGCGACACAGTTTATCAGTTCGATAGAGAAAACTATTCGGGATTACTGCTATATGAGGGTATATGTGCATTTTCCAAAGTCAGTCCATGAAGATTTAACACAACATCAAATACAAATTTTAGTAAGTTTGTTAAAAAAAAACAGCACTTACGAGCTTGTAGGGATCATCGAATCATTTGTCTTAATGTTTAGGTGAAGAGGACGTCCGAGGACACCGTGAAGCAAAGCACTCGACGGTGGATGATCGCGACAATAGCATACAACAACAGGAGAACCTATGCCGTTCAGAAGATGCAGAAAATGACCGAGTGTGTTATCCGTATTGTCCTACAAGTTTGGTGAGAACCAGAGATGAAAAGGAAACTAGGATGGTATGACAGTCATCACCTAAGGACAGAACAAACAATCAACTTAGAAGAGTCTAAGGAGAAGCAGTTACAAATGTAATGCGCCGAATTCTTATATAGACATCGGTATCTCATCAATCCCTCGGATATCCTAATGCTCAGGTCTAAGGAATTTCCGTACAATAATAGTTAGATCTATTGTTCTACCTGTCACTCAAGCGAGTCTACTTGACAGTTTTTGCGTATAGGACGTGCATGCTGTTAGAAATATCCCAAACGAATAAGAGAGACACGCACTCATTCGAGAGATCCGAAAAATTTCGTTGGATGTGAATAAAGTTCATGGTGCGCCTTGTCACATTTTGGTGACAACCAGTTTGGATGAACGAGACGTTAGATTTTATAGTTCTAAAGCCGCACAAACTGGCTTAACCAGTAGGCCCCTAGGCGGTTCCAGTCGCGTCAACCCAGGTTTTTACTTTCTGGAAAAATGACCACAACCTAGTGAATTTGGTTGTGGCTGTATTTAGAAATCGTGGATCGTAGCTAGTTTCTCAGAATCGAGAAAGAAAGGAAGTCAGTTAATCTTAATATCGGAAATAGATCTCCGCCTTCAGTCTTGATTTGCCCACCGAAGCTTTTCATCGGCAAAGAACCGCAACTCAGACCGTCACAGACACCGCATTGCAAGCGCAATGTCTGGGGACCCGAGTTCCCCACCAGGAGTCATGTCAGTGTTATATCTGGCCATCAGAGCCATCCTGAATGGAAGTTGTCGTCAGTGAAGATCACAACGTCCCATTCGACGCTCCAAGTGATGTATTTATCTTCAGCACGACCACCACCAATCCAAGAAACATAACTCTTTCTGACTGAGGTGTGATGCAGCCTATAGCAAGTGCCATGCGCACAACAAGCCAACATGCAATCCGGGAACTCAATTTAGTTTTCATGCGTCAGAAGACCCAGAGTAAAATTTTACCCTTCGCCTCATGGGAAGTCCTTCCCTTAAGTTTCCTCCCACCCCTCGATGTTTACCGGAGCTTGATCAGTCAGAACACTACGGACAGCGTCGTCAATGTGCGCCCACGGAGCAAAATTAGGTTCACACATTCCAGAATCCTTGAAGGTTATCATCTGAAAATATTCTGGCCGAAGCTTCACCGATCTTCTCATCATACCACATTTCACTACACCATTCATGGTTTATCCGATATCCAATGCACGGATGAGGCGAGCGCCGTTATCAAGCCAAGTCTCTACTTGGATGCGGTCGATAGCACAGAGCCGGGCACCATCCAACGCATCGATTGCCTGATTGAATGAACTTTGGTTATCAATAAAAATAGCGCAGTATTAGCCGAGTAGGTGCCTGATAAGGCCATCCATCTAAGGTAGCTCTACAAGCATTTGACACTCTTCAGGCAAACCGATCACTATAAATCAGAGTTTGAATAAAGAACAATACGGTAATAGGTTCTCAAGAACTTCAAAGAAAACAGTTGTCCTATCAGCGCTTTGTGAACCGTGTGTCATTGTCACATACGGTTTCTTTTCCATCACCAGCTTCCCATCTGGCTTTTGAGGACTCCTCAACCGGTTTATTTCGGCCTAAGAACGCTGGGAACTGAAGGTGACCTAACTTCCACATCAGTCTTTGGGTTGTCCGTTGTCTGAATGATAAAAGGGAAGCATTGGGAAAACTCATTCAAGCCGATAAAAGTTGCCAGGAAGTATTGGTAGCTATGTCATGTCATGGTTGTGTGGCCACTACAATCTTTCGGGCCTGATAGCCACGACGGCCACCGAAACGCATCAGGAAGGCACGCTCTGGAATGTCAAATCATAGTCTGCTTACTCATCAGTAGCTTCGACAGAACGAGAAAAACATGGTCGGCATACACAACGTTCATCTAGCAGTTGTAAAACATTTTTCCGAAAATGGCTAACGAAGGTTTTACATCCTCGATGGTAAATTACATCGTCTCGATAACACTAGAGCAGCCATGAGGACGATAACTAAATTCGCTTGTCAGAATTACGGAGGAAATTACCTGTGACCCAGCCTTACCAAGTGGATAGCATGGCACATAGTGGGATCTCGCGCTGACAGTCACTACAAACTTGCCGCGGCTTGCCACCTATCGTTGGTAAAGTATTGAACAAAATTTGAGGGGTGACAACCAGTTCAGATCTGGTCCAAGCACAGTTGGAGTGACAGGATTTTAGTGAACTGAAGGTGTTAGGTAGCTCTAGTGCTATATTTAATAAGTTTGATAACCAAGATTGTTAAGTTGATTTGGTTATACGAGGTCCCCTCTGTACTTAATATAGCAGAATTAATTCCGGGTAGCCACTTTGTTCACAGTAAAATTTCTGTCAGCCAATACAGGCCGAAAAGAAAGACGTCTACTTCAAAAAGGGCCTCAGACGAAATTTCAGCCAAGCCATAGATGGTCTCGGCGAAAGGATGGGCATAAAGTGCCGACTCAAGTTCTGATGACTCCTTGTCTTAGAGTCACGTTATGGTGATTGGTATTCCTTCGATGTGTACATGACCCCCTACTATCGCTCCCTATCCCATTTCAGATACCTATCTACCGATGGACGAAATGGTTCTAAAGTAATTTTTGGTGGGTAGGCTGTCTTTGCAATCTACTTGACTCGTTAAGTATCGCGATAGCCACCAATTAGGGGTGCCCAACGCGTAACTCTTACCAGAACAGGCAGGCGGTTCTTTCGTTCAGTCTGATTAGCGCTCCAGGGAATCACTCGAAGTCACCGCTTTAGTTATTTTAGAAGTACAGTGGAAAAATAGTCCATCTTGCTGTGACCATTGCATCGAATTCCCATGTGCATAAGGTGTATCCTTCGCGAACTAACGCTGCACCTTAACGGTGGGGTCTATCCGTTCGACGGTTGCATTATCCCCACCGCTAGTTCTTCCTTTTCTTCTGTTATGTGGAGTTTACAATAGAGCTTTGTATCTACCTGAAGCTGTCAGTTCGGCTGACATAGTCGGGAGGCTCGAAAGAAGTTAATCAAAATTAAATATAAATATACTCGGCTTTTGCCAGTAACGTCGGAACCTTCACACTTCTGACCATCACCAAGCCCTGAAAGGTTGGATTTATTTTCTACATCAAACAGTCTACTGTACCGTAATGGCATACATTGTTAGTTTCGATCCACTCTTTTTCTAATCGCAGGCATATCACATCTGGTGCGTATTCGTAAGCTGCAGGGAGTAGGATATGCAACAACGCAGCCAATAAGTTGGCCCCGCTCGAATCCTTCTTCACCGTTCTGGAAGACGAATTGTTTGTGGATGCTTTCGAATCAACCACCGGTATTCGAAGCCACTGAACTTGACGGATACGTCTGTTGGATCGAACTGATATATGTGCAGGCTGGATCGTCCGCCGGAGTGCGGAGCAAGCAGCTAACTGTTCGGCGTAGTTACCACGAAAGATGGAACACCAGAAAAGACTGAAAAGGATTAGATAATGAGAAAAAATCATATAGAACTGGAACAAAAGGACTGGAATCTTTTAAATAGTTTATTACATTTTCTTCATATTCATTTTAGTATTCATTTACGCACAATATGCAAACGTCTCCATCGAGGTCCCTTAAAACACTCGGTTGGGAGAGCCAACTTGTTCATAGGAGTTTTGTGGTGACCCTAGTGATCAAAACCCTCTCATGAACTCTTGACCTCAGTCAACTGTATGTAGCCATATTTTTCCTGTAATGAGCAGTTGCAAGATGAGTCCCCCTGCCTCGTTCTTCTAGCTATTTCTTTGGTCCAGTATACCCATCCGTCAGTAATTTACTGGGATCTCTATTTCCAGTACCCCAAGAGATCAGGTGCATTTCGAGAGCGATTCTTACACGAGAAACGATGTTATTTGCCCCTTAAAAAGGAGATCTTTCAAGGCAGAACACCACAGCAGGAAGCAGCTTGTGCAGACGATGCTTACTATAATACTTTAACCATCCGGAATCTCTGCGAATGTCCAAAATGGCTCAACTATACATAACCTTATCGTTCGCTGGTACCTGCAATGGATACGCCTCGGATAGCGACCACTAAACGAACTTACTGAACCTAGCAACGATAGACAGTGAGTATCAATGAGCTCCGAAGCTGAAGTGGGTGCCTTAGCAACTCCAGCAGATGTCATATCCTCAGAATTCCACTGCTAAATAAAACAACAGCTGCTGCAGATTTTTCCTCTTTAGTGACCTCTTCTCATCTGCAAAAATTATGTTGAACCAGCAGTCAGTACTACTCCCCAATCAGGTGACAACAGTCAGACCTATCGAGCAGTGATCTTGATATGCGCAGCTATAGTGCTTATTCGCGTACTACCAGTGAAAGGAACAAGGCCTTTGCTGCGGGGTTATTTATCAGAAAATGCCAACTGACCGGTTACTGACCATTGGACAGGGAAGCAAAACCCTCATTTGCGTCTTATTTGCAAAAACTGGACACCCATCTTCTCCTGAACGCGTCTTCTTGAACTTTCTTGGATATTCATTGACCCGAACGCGTCTCTTGAACTTTCTTGGATATTCATTGACCCCAATTACTCAACGCTCGAATCCAAGCAAATGTTGCAAAGCGACTCCACAGATTCCGCAACATATCTCCCATTTTCAAGAGACGCAAAGCGAAAGTCCACAAACGACACATACTACTCGCGTGCCTCCCCATCAGTAGCATTACAGTTACACCAGTGCACTGGTACCAGCATCCGTGATAGTTATGGATTGTTACAACCTTTGAAATAGTATTCGCCTAGCCTGCACCTGACGATTAACAATCCGGAGAAAGCAACGAGTCCGAAGAAAATGCAGTCAGACCGACGAAACCGAACTATCACATTGCGGCAGCTTTCAGTGTCAGTCAATGCATTCAGTTAGTTTTCGCGTAATTCGAACAAGGTCAATCAAAGTGAAGTGGAGCCAACCAGCCCAGGATAAATAGGTGTGAGCGTTTTGCTCTTTACTATAATCAGTAATACCAGATCTCCTTGTTAAAGTTCCCGATACGGAACTTTGAATCAAGCATAGGTTTGAAGACCCGATTTTCAAAAGGATGAATTGGGCCCGAAAGTCAACGGTACTAGTTGCACAGAGGTAAGCAAAACTACACAACAAAAACCTCGTTTGTCCATGATCGTGAAATCGTATGAGTCTGTCACCGACCAGAACAGCAGTGTCAAGGTCCGCGCAGTGAACAGCATTAGGCGGAATGTCAGCTCGAATTGCTGTAGTTCCTTCCGAGGTCAGTCTCGTGATTCTGATTGGCGATACGATTACGTAGAATTCACGACAGAGCAGGCTCAGCAGAGGTGCACGAATACGCATGGGTAAGTAGGTCAGTAATGCACATAAACACATGCTAGCATACTGGGCGGCCTTTGCGGCAAGCTGAATGGCGGTGTCACATATGTTGTACCCCATCCGCGTCGGACTCTGTATACTTGTACAGGGGCACGCCTGTAGCCAATGTGTCAGCTTCAGTGAACTTATTCGACGATGCTGTCACACAGACGTATGACTAATTCGCTTAATCCTGTCGTTTATTGGCACAAAAGCTGACAACTATAACCACCACAAACTGATGAAAGCTGAAATGCAATGATCAGAACACTGATTTACACCTTTGCGTCACACCATCTGGAAATACTGGCATTCGCCACATGGCCTTCTTTATTCCCAGACAACCGTATAGTCAGTATGAAAAAAATTCGCACAACCGACTCTCACTTGGTACACATACAGTGGATTTGCCGTATGACACCTCGTTTTATGGATAACAGACTGGTGACGAATGCGCGAATTTCTATGGCGGAACACAAGCACAGGGTGAACAAACTCACCAACTGAAACAACATTTAGAGGAGGCGTGGGCGATAAATGGTTAGGGAAATCCGTGACTGACAATCGTAACGGGAGTTATCCAGTTTCCAGGGCGGCTGAAGATCCTACAAAGCCACCTGGCCGTTTTGGCGTCAGCAATATGGTTAGCCGTCTGTTCGCGAGTCATGACATCTCAATCGCGCACCATAGGATCCAACCGCTTGATTTCCCCAACTGTTTCGACAATACCAGTCATCAGTGAGATGTTTTCTGTCAATTTTACAGTTTTATTCACCCCACTTTACACCACGCTGTGTTTAGATGTTTCCACACACGCCTTGAACTAATGGTATCATTTATCTGGCGCAGAGATACATCGGCATATCTCAGTGTGCCAGACAAACCCTGAGAGATGCCAGTCTCAGCAGCGTTTACAGTAGTTCCAAGTTTTCTAGCAGACCGATAAAAATGGAATGAACCGAGGAAACACACGTAAAAATCAAATTTGTACTCTCTAACCTCCTGTACTCTCTACCCTGGCCTTTCCTATTCGGGAAAATGATCTCATCTCCAGCCGGTCCACCGGAACCTATACAGATGCCCAGGTAAACCAATTTATCTACCAGGTCGATTGGCTCACCTGCAAGCATAAGGTGTGGGTTTGACCCCACCCAGTATTGTAGCAGCACTTTACACTTTGAAGGTGTGAAGCGCATGCCAAACCGTGCGGCAGAATTACTTAAATTAGCCAAAGTGGTTTGCATTGGGGAAGGATCTGAACCAAGGAGAGCAATATCGTCTGCATACTCAGTGTCTATGAGGGAAAGTCTCGGGAGCATTTCGACTCCCGAGGTTTAAGAGGAAGGCGGAGAAATTTCAAGCAGCATATCAATAACAAAGTTGGAGAGGAAAAGGGAAAGAAGCCTTGTCTTACACCACTGGAGGTGGTTAGCTTACCGTAAACTCGCATGCGCCCGTAGGAGTTCGCATACAATGCCCTCATAATGGGGAGAAATTTGGAAGGGATATCTTCGATCGCAAGGCACCTCCAAAGTTGCTGACGACCGACGGAATCAAAAGCAGGTTTCAAATCCAGAAAAACGACCAACGTGGGACCTCTGAAGGAGTGGCGCTGTTCAACATATGGTCGATGTATCGTCGACCAGGGCGAAACCCAGCTTGGTTCTCACGAACCTGTCAAACCCGATAATCCATCAATCCATGCAAAATAATACCAGATAGCAGCTTAGATGCGACGGATACCAGGCTGATACGTTCTTGCTCCCTTTGTGAAACCTGGGATGACGGTCGAGAAGATCCATTCGGCTGGTATTCTGCTTTCGTTCCAAATGTTTCGAAGTATGGTTGTCAGACCGTTCACCAGGACCTCACCACCTACTTTGAGGAGCGCAGGGTGTAGACCATCCAGGTCAGGTGTCTTGTCGCGCTTCAGGATTGAAATCTCACGCTGGATTTCGGTTGCTGATGGTAGGTTGGTGCCAACGTTCCATTCGGGCCCGCTTGGTTCTTCCAGCGGCTGTGTTGAAGGAGATCACGTGAACTATTCTTGGAAGTGCTCAGACCACCGCTCAAGATGGCGACTGAGGGAGTGAATCGCTGTTCCGTTTGTTTCGCATGGTGTCTCACTGACACCTGCCTTCTTTTGACTCGTTAATAGGATCAGTTGAAACAGGGTGCAGCTGTTGCCTGCAGCAACAACCTCTATCTCCTGGGCCTTCGAAATCCACCAGCGTTCTCTGTCATTTTTCAAGCTCTTGATTACCCAGTGTGTGAGGGATCTGCGTGCGCCATCACAGTCGCTAGTTGATGGTATGGCCTTTCTGGCAGCAATAAGATCTGCTGATTTCGAAGATATCTAGTGTTCATTCAGTCTGGTCAGATGGGCTGGACAAACAGTTCTGACGGCTGACAGCATTACTTCTTTAACTCGCCTCCATTCATCATCCAAGCAGTTTTCGTTGTCCACATGACTGTGCGTTTCCAGTAGCTTTTAGCCACATCAGCTCGATACCCTTCAGCTACTGAAACTTGCCGAAGTTGATGAACGGAGCTGCTCTCTTCCGGCACGCGTAGTGCTGGAGGAAAGCGAAGTGCTAAACGGGTCCGCAGGATGGCGTGACCAGAGTCCAGTTGCGTACTCCAAAAGGAACGACAATCCTTAACTGAGGCTGTCCGTTGGTAACTGATAGCCAAATGGTCCAATTGAGTCCAAGATTGTCTTGTGGCAAGTGGCCTCCAAGTAACTTGGTGTGTGCGTTTGTGTTGGAAGTTCATACTGGCTAGAAACAGCCGATGATCTGCACACAACTATAGAGGCCCTTCTTCTTCGTCCGTACGCTCAGTATCGACTCCAAATCAACCACCTAACTGTGTTTCTTCCGGACTTGGTCGTCCAACTTGGGCATTCACATCACCGGCCAGGATTACTATACCAGTACTTCTTGCCGACCGAAGTAGTCGTGACAGATCGTGATAAAACTCGTCCTTCTCAGTCTTAGAACTGCTATCTATTGGGGCATATACCGATACGACAAACAAACACCGTTTACCGCATCGACGTGGGTTAATCTTAATTGAGCCAAACCACCGCACAGCGCAAAGGCGACCGTTTACTGGGATCCAGTCCAGTAAGGCGCATTCAGCAACCTCCACACCGTAGATACAATGGGTCATTGCGTTAAGATTACCGGATGCCCGAAGAGTGAAAGGTGGAACATGGGCTCGTCCTAAGCAGCTTGCGGAGCAAGACCTAATTGGGGTCTTTTATGCGTGTTTCGGAGACACAACATACATCGATAGAGGGATAAAGTAGGGTTTCAGCAAGGTATGCCTGTTGCCCAATTTGACATGGAGTACGGATATTAAAGGCTGCAACGTGGATCAGATCTTTTGAGGTTAGCAGGTAACTATTTTGGTTCATTTTTCTGGGCAACAGTTGAGGCATGGAACAGTGGCCAAGGGTTTGGCAGATGGGTTCATTGCACTGCATTCTGCGATGGATTGGGAGGCAATGAGACGGGACTCGCTGTTCTTCGTCGAGCTGCTCCTCGGTGGCCTTCCTGGCATGGTTGAACCTTTAGAAACTGATTTCCAGCCAGTATAACCCGCAGAATCATTGCAGTACTCAAGCCCGACCACCACGAGAGGGTGACGGCTTTGGGTCAGGTACTCATGTATATAATCAAATGCGTGCAACAACAAAAACTCTCGTCATTGAAAATGTAGTTCCTCTATATCTCCTATTTTCAGAAATATAAATGCCCCATTTAATGACCGGTAAACGAGTAGAAAAACGTTTGGAAACGCCTGCTAAATAATCAACGGATGTGTTGCTAAGGGGCGTGAAGTCAAGTGAGAAAGTAACCAGGTTGGTCGAGTTTTAAGGCAGACAAACAATCAATCAGCGAGATCTTAGCCATTCAAGTGAGAAAGAAACCAGTTGGTCGAGTTTTAAGGCAGACAAACAATCAATCAGCGAGATCTTAGCCATTTGAAACTACTCTTTAGGGATATTCAATTCATGCAGTTCATCGTCCACATCAGTTACAGATAGAAACCTCTCTGCCTCAAAATGTGTTTCCAGAACAATAGTGCATCAGGAGGGATTTTGAATGGCTCTAAGTGTTTCAGTTCATCGATGGAGTAATGATACTGGCGAGGAATAAGTCAAACTAGCATTACATATGACATTACCTCATCATGTGAATAATTAAAACCGATGAAAGAACCGTATTCAAACTCACTCGCACTGAAGCTGTCCAGCGGAATCAAATATCTTTTCACAAGGCTTCCCCCCAAATGGCTCCTTTATGCCCGATAAATCAACGACAAGTAGACGGCAGAGTTTAGACATTTCCATGGCGCTTTGACGCGTGTTTGAGTAGTTGCTAGAATCCGACTGGAATTTAAAAAAGGAACAAGGGATAGATATGTGCATGAAGGCATTTCCTTCCTTTTCAAGATAGTTTTATATGCTCTCACCTTCCAGTCATCTGTGGGCAAATTCTCATACGCACTGGTGGCATTATGGCTTGTCAACGTCTTCCTGGTGCCACCTGTGACCTGAAAGTTATTCGGATTATCTTCCGTTTGGTTCTCTAAGTTGTTTGTGCCTATCATGTTGAGCTTTCCCATTGAGGTTCGCCCATTTCGAGTACGGAAGACACTGGTACGATATTCCTCCAGCACCTGGGGTGACATATCTGTGATTGCCTCAATTATCTGGAAGGGGTCTGGCTGCTGGCCGACTGCAAAAACTCGGCTAAACTATGGAAAGGAAAGGGAAATTCCAATTTAAAACAGAGTGATTCAGGAGTTGCCCATGGGTTTCAAAACTGGAGGATGAAAGAATGAAGACACAAACAGTGAGTACGGTGTGTCAAGCACAATAAAGCAGCCGGCTCAAACCCAAGACCTAGTAGAACAATCAGCTGACAGACAGTATAACAGACAGCATAACAACAACCACTAACCCACCGCTACGCACACAGCATAACACCACTAACCCACCGCTACGCACAACCACGCACTGATGATGTCACCTCGATTGGTGATGAAACGTTTGCAACCAAATTTTCTTTCCAAGCGAACAAGCCAACGACCAT